GCATATAGTTAGAGCTTAATTTTTATTAAATCTGTCAATCCGTTTAGATAATTCGCATTTAATGTAATTATTGACATGGTCGGATTAAAATCTATTACCTTGTTATTTTCTATTGGCCCCATCTCTTTTTTTTCCTTCTTTTTATGACTTTTTGAATTATATTTATGGTTCTTTCATATCTCCATTGTTAACTTATTGTTTATATTTTTAAAAATAATTTAGTAGCTGCTGTAGGGCTTATAATTTACATCTTTAATTTATCACAGTGTAGCTTCAAATCATATATTGCTTCATGTGCAGGGTAGAAACCTTACATCTGTATACTTATAATTCCTCCCTCCCAATTTTTGTGTCATTGTTGTCACACATTCCTTTGTATATACTATAAACCCACACTAATTTGCATTAATTTTGCTTTAGACAGGTAATATTGTTAGAACAAATAAAGATAAGAAAAACATCTTTTACATATCACTTTCTTTTAACCATTTCTTAAGATTTTCATTTTCTTGTGTTGATACAAATTTCTTTCTGGTATCATAGTTCTTTTATATGAAAAACTTGCTTTAATATTTCTCATAGTGTAGGTCCGCTGCTAATGCGTTTTCTTCATTTCGTTTACTTAAAAAAAGAAAACTTTATTTCTCCTTCATATTTGAAAGGGAGATGTGTAACCAAATTTTGCTGTTCTTGAGTGTAGGCCAGACATAGTAACTTGCTACTGATAGAATCAGATGGAAGTGACAATATGTGACTTCAAAGACTAGGTCCTGAAAGGCACTGTGTCTTCTGTCTGGCTGGACTTCTCCATAGTCCACAGACAGAAGCACAAAGCAAAGCCGCTCCAGAATTTCTGACTCACAGAACCTGGGAAATAAGGAATGTTTATTGTTTCAGGCTACTAAATTTGGGAGTAATTTGTTACATAGTATATATAATTAATATTGGAGTTCTCTGGGTTTCTTAGATCTGTGGTTTGATGCTTTCATTATTTTTGGAAATTTCTTTGTCATTTCTCGTATTGTTTCTTCTGCCCTGATCCCTCTATATTCTTTTTTAAGGATTCCAATTACATGTATGTTAGACTGCCTGGTGTTCTCCTGTAGTGTTCATACATTCTACCTGTAGTTTTAAACATGTGCCAAATCAGCTTCGTCATTCACCAATCCCAGCTGAACAGCATCCCCTTCTCTGAGGAACCCCATAGGGATGTTCCTCTAAGCTCATAAATTTTAATAATTCCAAACTCTTTCCTTTGTTCTCCCAACCCTAGAGAGATCAGCTGCTTCTTGAATTTGCTAACTCTGTGATATATTATTGCTCTCTGTTATCTTTCCAGTTAATTAACAACTTATCCTAATTAACAGTTTTTATTAAATTTTCTGTTAAATTAACGGGTATAGTTTCTGTCTCCTGACTAAACTTTGATTCAGAAATTGGTACAGAGTCCCAGTAAACAAATCCTCAAATATGGAATTTTGAGATTAGTTTAGTCGTATCCTTTGGACTTGATTGTAGTGCTGAGATCTTTGCTAATATAAAGTGGAAAGTTGTGCATGACATGGCAACACAATTAGTCAATATTACTCCAATTTAATTGATCATAGAAACTTTTGTTGCAAGAAGCATCTTATAGGACTAATATTCAGCAGAACAAACTGGAAAATGCTGGCTTAGCCGTACTTCTCTATTCAATGTATCCTCTCTAAATACAACCATCATGTTCAAGTTGCCGCTCACGTTTCATCTAAATTGAGAATCTGTACTCAATCCATGCTTTACATCAAGTTTTTAGAGCTTTCCCTGACACTAGATTCAAACACTTTCCTAAAGGAACTAATTGGTTGTATTGCTTTATACACACTTCTAATATGATCATTGTTATATTATATTGTAGTTGTTTGTTTACAGATATACACGTAGCCAACTAGAATTGGAGCTCTTTGAGAGAGTCCTTGTCTGATTCATCCTTGTACTTCCAGTGCTGATCAAAGTGTCTGGCATATAGTAAGTATAATTAATTTTGTATGCATATCATTCATGAGAATGGTTATGCAGGCTAGTAATATTTATTCATTAAAAAAAATTTGAGCACTTTGAATTTGCTATTCCACAAGAAGATAAAGACATGCTTCATTATTTGAAATACATTGTTTATAGCTTTCTTACTATGTGTTACAATTTCTCCTCAAGAGTAACTTGTTTATTTCCATTTTACAAATCTGTTTGCCTTAGACAGGCAAATAAATTCAGCTCAACAAGCATAGACTGAGCAATCACTCTGCCAGGACCCATGCTAAGCCTTAAGTATACAAATATGGTATATATAAATGCTGATAGTTCAATGGGGAAACAGAGTTGCAGTCAAATAAATTTCAGTATTAATGTGATAAGTACAAAAATGGAAATATACATGAGTTGTACGAGTAGTTTAGCAGAGAAGGTAAGATCTTTATGAGAAGGAATACGAGGAAAGACTTCCCAGAGATTTCTGAGCTGGACTTTGAAGGATGAATAGGAGTTTTCCAAGCCAACAAGAGGCAGGGGCATAAATACAAACATAGAGGCAAAAAAATAGTAAAGCTTTGAAGAAATAAAACAACTTCAGGAGCATTATGCACCAGATGGTTTGTGGCAGAAAATAAGGCTGAAAATTTAGGCAAAGACCAGATCATGAAAAGAGCTTTAGTTGCCTTACTAAGGAACTTGGACTTATCCAACAGGCCTGATAGGGAGATAGAGAAGACAAATTACATTTATTTTTTGTTTTCTGCATTAGGAAAAATTTGAATTACCATACACTAAGCAAACATCTTTTGAGCACATTTACTATCTCAGGCATTTTGCTGGGCACTGGATTATTTAATAGTTGTACCTTTAAAGCTCCTTATAAAGGACATTTTTGTTGATTAGGGACATAGCCTAGATTTCAATTATTGTTTCTATCCTCTCAATTGATTCTCAGCATAAACTCGCAGGACAGTAATTCTAACTCTGTTGCTAATGCCAAGACCAACACTTTGAATCATTTCTGCCAAGCAGCAGATTTTTCAGCAACCCACTTTATAAACTGTAATTAGTCTTCTATAGAGGGCAAATTATTTCCTTTATTCCTTTTCTAAATTTCATAGCTTTCATCAAATTTGTTATACATTATTATCTACATATTTCTATTTAAAGTTAGCCCAAGGAAATCCACATCTTTTCAGCCTACAAACTCTTCCGTTTAAAATAAAGAGAAGAAAATTTAAAAATTTTTTCCAAAACTAAGATAACTCCCACAAAGGAGTTAAATTCTAAATATTATCTATGCTAAGCATTATTAATCCTAAAATATGTGGATCTGGATATCAAAACAGAATTATTTTGTCCATCTGTTAGCAGGACATGACAGAAAGCGTAAGAGAGCTAGTAAGGGTGTTATGTTTAGAATAAAACTGGACATAATTAAGCATGTGTGGTATGATTTGGTAGGTTATTTTTTCGGTCTGAGAATGCTCAAAATTTTTTTCCAAATAACTTAATGGTAATTGAATCTTTATACCATTTCAACTTTTGAAAGGTTTCATAGGAATGCTCTACTTTTGTATATTGGGGTAAACCTGTATAGAAATAAAACGGCCATCAATTAATTTGGAGTTCAAGAAGGCATGTAAAACTTGAAATTTCAAAATTGGTGATGGCAAAGAAAGGAATGAGCAGTACTTTATTTATTAAAGATGGTATTCTTATAAAATACAAAACACGTGCCCAAATGTGTTCCATACGCGTGTCCTAAATATGTGAAAAAAAATAAACTTTACACCTACGTGAAAACTAATGATCTGAAAATGGTTGCTAGTTTATTATAAAACAAAAACTTCTAGTCACTCCACTCCTCTAACAAGAGAACCAGGGGCAAAGAAAATACGCTAACATTCCAAAGAATCATGACTTTAGGTTAGATATGGGGATGAGTGGCTTGAATGAGATGGTTGCTCAGTTTGGGATTAGGCATTGTGAAATCTTTTTCTGGATGTCTCTAGACATAGACTGGGTTATAAACTGTATATCTTGCTGAGAACAAAGGAACAGACATTTCTCAAAATTCTGTCAAGCCTGGAGATCTTTAGAAATGAAAGCCTAATTAAGAGGCTCCCCAGGGACAGGTCAAGGGAGTTCTTTTATTCCTACTGCCCTCATCCCAGTTCCTTGATTCCTCCCTTCATTCAGCCTACTCTGAAACTGAAGAATACACATTGTGCAAGTTTCCAACTTTGCTTCCTCCACTGTAAATTCATTAAACTTGTTAGAATTAAGAATTTTAAATCCCTCGCTCCCTTATTTCAAAGCTGTTTTTTAAGCGTTTTTGAATAGAGCTTAACACTAAAAATTCTTCTAAAACTTGTGTTTTTTTAAATTGGACAAATTTAAATTTTTTGTTAAACTCTGCCTATGGGATTGCAAAGTCCTTCAAATATCTTTTAATAAACCTATCTAATAAATAATACTTCGTCAAATTTCAATTCAGATTTATATCTTCCTTCTAATTTCAAAAATTGTTTTGCATGCAGTTACTTGGGTTAAATTCTTGTTGGGCTCTTAATCACTGTTTCACTTCTTTGAAAGTTTTAGGGTGAACGTCTATTCTGTACCCAGAGGATAGCAAGTTATGCATGTTTTAAAACTTGACATAATTATTTCTCAAATTTAAATTGTCATTCCCATGACAGTGAGGCATGATAAAGCATTTTAGTGTTCTTTTATAGCCTCCTCTTCCTCGCATGAAAAAGTAGTGACGGACTAAGTAGTCGGCGGACTACGACTCCAATCGCCATCCTAAATACTGTATCCAGCTTTGCCCAGGCAGGTGGACAATTACCTGCTCCCAGTCCGCAGCGTAAAGCTATAGCTGCACCTGACTGGTACACGTGCTTGTCAATCACGTAAAAGGGTGGGACTTCAAGACCGCTCTAAGTGAGACTGTTTTTACGTCATTGCGGAGCGACGGTAACAGAAGAGGGAGGGGGTGGGGTCGTGAGAGTACCTCTGTGGTGGTGGTGGGGGCGGCCTGTGAAGGTGTCATGGCTGCTGCAGCTGAGCTTAGTCGCCCGACGATCGGTGACAGGAGCCTGGAGCAGAGCTGCAGCCCCAACCTCTCCCAAGAGGTACTCTGCGAAATCTTTCGCTCCCTGCATACCCTGGCTGGACAAGTGAGTGATGGCCTGTGGGAAGATGGGTATGAGAACCGTCCGGCCCCTCTCCCTTTTTTTTCTCTTTAGCGGAGGCGGAGGCAGCGGTGGTCTGCCTGGGACTCGTCCTGAGTAGCTGAGGCCGGGGAAGGAGCCCGCGCCCAGCCGCCTGCGGTCGGAGTGGGGATGGCCTCACGGACTTAGTTCAAGACTGGTTGCAGACTAGATTTCCTTGCAACTCTCTCCCCAGGAGTGAGTGAGGATAGTGTAAGTGAAAACCTGGCTCCCAGAGAAACAAGCTTGGAGAGAATGAATGCGGAAAAGCTGAGGGGCTTGGGAGGCGCCTGGCCCCTAGGATCCTTTATCCTCCAGTTCATTCATTATAGTAATTGATAGGTTAGTACGGCCTGAGATTTCTGGAAAAGCTCGCTCTCCTCTTCTTTTAGGTAATTTGCTCTTATGAGTCACTTGATTTTATTTCTTGTTTTCTTTTTGGTTGTGTGCATCTCTTACCCTTTCAAACGGGGAGGAAAATAAAAGGAATTAACCTAAAATTAGTTAACTTATAGCAGAAAGTTGGATGAGTTTACTTTTTATTCATGGAAGATACTGTTTACATCAGAACCCTCGTTTAACTAACTAGTTTAACTGGCTGATAAATAGCTTTTGCAGAAATGTCATAATAAAATTGGGTTTAAATAAAAATGCTGTTTACACTCTATTCCAGTCAAGTCACTATTTCGTTTCATGTAAAAATGCAAAGCAAATTTTAAATGAGAAACAACTTGAAAATAAATTCTCCTGCTTTTAAAAAGGAAATTTTTCTCATATCTTACATGGAATATTTTCTAGCTATAAATGTTTGTTGTGGGGCTGGTACTAGTGCATGTAGTAGGCACAGCAGGCATTTGTGTCTAAGATAATGTTAACTTCCTTTATGAAAGTAGAGGTTTTGATTTGTGAAATTTATTTTTTAAAGCCTTTGGTGATGGAGAATCAAATTTTTAAAACGTTATTTCAATATTTTAAAAAATCCTAATATGTTTATCGTGACTTACTCAGACATTCAGTTTGGTGTAATGGAACAATTATTAGTAGAATCTGCTAAAAGTTGTAACTTCTAAACTCAATTGTTTGCCATGGACTTATAAAACAAATTTTGTTAAAATTTGGGGACGTTAATAATTCAGCCTTAAAGCCCAAGACCTGTAAATGGTTTAAAAGTTTGAAAACTTTTTGTAGTGTGGACATTGAAACTTCAAGGTTTATTTATAGTCTCATGTCAGGATGAGGAAATTTATACTCACCTATAATTTACAGAAGTTTTTTTTAGTGGCGAGATTTTTTTTAAATTAATGTTAATAATTTAAACATTCCTTTTGAAATATTTTGCATATTGAATTTTTAAAACATTGAAAAAATTTTAAACATTCAGATGTTCTATAGCTGTAAGTAGAGATATAATTATATTATGTCACTTGTCAAAAATGTTTAAAGTAAATATTTGGTGAATTTACTTGGTATAGTGAAAGGACTATCTATACAAGTGTTAGAAAATAAGATTGTCTTATTAATTAAATGCTAACCGTCTTGATAACATTCTTTGTATTTTGAGATGTATTATTTAAAGATAAAAATGAAAGCCACAGTACTATATTTATAAAATTGCCCCGGAGGAAATCACTATTACCTTTTGCAACAAGTTTAAAGGATTTTTTTAAAATGAATTTTGTAATATGACTAAGTTCATTCTGTATAGTATTATATTATGAGCTCTCCTTAATAGGAAACATAAAATTTAATGTTAAAAAGTATTTTCTACCCGATTTCAAATTTTCTGATTTTAACTTAATTGCTTGCCTCTGGATAGCCCATTTCACCAAGCTGAAGAATTATATTTTTTTAGCTTGGATTCTCATATTAATTTAATAAAGGTTTTACTGAAAATGCGTATTTAAATAGTCCATATTACTGGCAGACTAATACATTTTTGAGTGAGTGGTTTACAATTACAAGTTCTATAGGATAAAAATGCATAGAATTCATATTACTAATAAGGAATTTGTTGAATAAATAGATGGATGTATTATGATCGTTTTAAAGTTAATTTGTTACATTATTATGTGAGTTTCTTAAAAGATCTAGTATCTTGCACTTGAATCCTTACATAATTCTGCTGAATTGAAATGAGAATATGATCCAAACATTGAGATTTATCTTCTGTAAGTTAATACTTTCTCTAGAAAATTTGATGTTTTGCTTTCATTAAGGATTTGCCTGCTTTATCCCAAAACTGTATTCATAGATTTATATAAATGACTATAGATCTCTTTGGGGACTGTAAAAGTATAGTAATAGTTTACTTCCATACATAAAAAATTGTTGTCTAACAAAGGCTTTATAGGCATTAAATAACAAATTAAGATTAATGTGGTAATCTTAAATGTAAAATTAGTTAAATTAATATAACTAATCTTTGCCAGTGCAGCCTACACAAAACTTCCTTTTTCTTTACACTTGTCTAATATGGACTCAGTGTTTCTTCTCTCATGCTCAAAGAGTGATAAATTTTTGTCATACAGTATTCATTCACTATGGTGCCTTTTTTGGGTAACTTTGGCTCTCTTTGGTTCTTTGTACAAATACTCATCTTTTTGTTTTATTATAATCACAACTCAAAAATCCGTATTTGAACTAATGTAACAGTTGTCTTTAGTTTGTAGAAAACATGACTAATATTTAATAAATGATTTCTGAAAAAATAATATAGTCGTTAACATGAGCCTACTATGTAGTCTATCTCCTTATAGTATGCCATAAACATATCTGTAGAAAAGTTTATGGTGGTTCACTTCTTTTCACTTGAAAGGCTAGAGATGAATGCTTTCCCTATAAAATTATCATTGATTTTGATATAAATTTTATATTCAGGTTCTTGGTAGTTTTCTATGTATAGTTTTATTAAAATAGGTCACACAAAGCTAACTTATAAGACATTTTCATATAACGAGCCCTCACACTTTACTAGAAAATGCTATTTTAGCAAAAGATCTCACCATTCCATCCAGTCTCTGGTCATTTATATCACTATTTTGGAAAAGTATTTGTTTTTCAGTTTCAGAGTTCCACAGCTAATTAATAGTTTAATTTTTGTTTGAAGTAGATAGGCATGTTGTCACTTATCCGTAGACATTATTTAAGTGTGAATAATACTGATTTTTAAATTATTTTTAATTGATTATAGTTGAAAACAATAAAAATGATTCAGAAAGCATCAGAGTAATGATCTATTTCAATTATGTATTTATGTACATGCTTAACAAAACGAAGTGTGTATATCACAACTTTTCATAAATGTGCCCGTCCCCCCTGTTTAATGCTCTGAGCTAGAAGTAGTAGGATTCTGAATAGGGCAAGCCTCTCTTGGCCTCCACAAAAGGTTTTTAGATATTGAAATATCAGAAAAGCCTCATCTTTTCATCTTTTGTGGATAGTTTCACCTCTGAGGTGGTCCCACTACACAGACCCAAGAATAGAATTAGAATGTAGATGTCATTCTATTTTTTTTAAATGAAAATTGCAGCTTGGCCTCTTAAAATGGTAACTAAGTAGTAAATGGTAACTATATATCATTAAAAACTTGATCAGTTTGAGCTAAATAGGCATGTTACTCTGTAGAAATCTTTTTTGCGTGTGACGGTCCTATATGTACAGCTTAATTGTGTAATTTTTATGATGTTGCTGGTTTGCCCCTTTGAAGCTTAACCTCAGAGACGATGTGGTGAAAATTACAATCGATTGGAACAAACTCCAGCTGCTTTGCTCTTTAGTGCACTTGAGCAACACATTTTGTATTTACAGGTAAATTCTTGTTAAAAATGTTAACTTGATATTGAGAATAGATATTAATTGTAGTTAAATTATTAGCTGGAATATTTGGTAGTTCTATCTTAACACTGCATTAACAGTATTAATAATAAAAGATTACTTCTTCCTCATTGGATCCAAATCTGTCAATTTGCATAGTGATCAGGACAGTTAAGGGAATATAGCCCAACAGGCCGATGTGGTTATGAAGATTGAATGAATGCAGTTCTAGACTTGCACTGAAAATTCAATACAGTTGCATCTATGGTGGGTTATAATTAAGCAATAAGACACGGCAGGTGTGTGTCATGCTATGATAATGATTCCATGCCTTGGGTGAGTTTGGAGGCTCATGGAGTGCTTTCAGTGGTTCAAGAAGTGGCATTATCCCAGCATGACACATCCTGGAGTGTCTATTGCAATTAAACAGTTTCAGCATAGTTTTTAAAAAGAAAGTAATTTCTGTGACATTAATGTCTTGTCTTAGTGAGTAGCCAGTCGCTATTTTATCCTTTCTTTTTCTTAACAGTTTGAAATAATTCATATTTAATATTAGATGTCAACATTAAATTGTTATTTATAATAGTATTGCCATGGTTTTTTAGTCTACAGTTCAATAACAATAGTAATATGACCTTGCTAGTTTCCAGTTGAACATGTCTGCAATTATAATTGATATGTTTGCAGTTTATCTCTAATCAAAGTATAAAATATAAAGTGTCAAAAAGTAAATGGAAAGGCTATTTGCATTGGTTACTTTACTGCTATTAAGATATTTTCAGAAGAGTATTTGGCATAGCAAAAAATGGAAGCAAAATTGTTGGTATGAAAAAAATAATTGAAATATTGACAAGTATTGGTATGTTTTGAATAATGGAATAGACATTAATTTTCAGCCCTCTGTTCAATGACTTTATGGGAAATTTTAACTCTCTGTTTCATGTTAAAAGTAATAGTTAACCCTAGTTTTAAAGGGCAGAAGCAATGAGCTATAGAACTCAATGGAGGCCTAATTGTGGTGGGGAAATGGGTAGTATAATTTACATTATACAACAGAGTTTTTTCTCCTCTAGTGTAGTGAAAAGCATCTATCTCTTTTCAGCTCTAGATAGGGTTTTTTTTTTTTTTTCCTTGTTCATTTTCTTTTTAAAAATTTGATTTCATGACCTAAGAAGATACCCTGCCATGTCAGGAAAAGCCTGAGTGTTCACTCAGCATAACACCTATGTATTTCATGTCTATGCTCTCTCATTCACTTTGGCCAACTGCAGTTTCAAGTGGAGAATCTCCAGTGATATAGTGATAATGCAGGGCTTTGCTGAGTGAGAGCACTGGCTCTCATGTTAAGGAGGAAAAATACTAAGCCTCAGTGTTCTGAGGAGGCATTTGAATGACATGTTAATTAAGTGGCATTGGTGCCAGAGGCTAAGACTTTGATTTGGCACAAAATAAAAGATGAGTGACAATGATTCCCTCAAGGAAAATTTTAAATTTCCTCAGGTTTTCTTTTTCTCTTTTTTTAGAAACACATTTTAACAAATGATAATGGTCACAGTAGCAAAGAAGAGCAAACACATGTGGTCAGATCTGTGTATCCTGATATGCCAACTTTTTATATTTAGCTAATTGATGTTAAATATTGCATTTACTTAGCAGAAATTTATATAAATATGTTAAATGTATAATCAATTTTGAGCAGTTTGAACCCCAGCAGATTTGAAATTGTGTTCTTCTCAGCCTTTTTTAGCAAAACTTCAGCCTCTGATTAAAGAGGAGAATACAACTATTGTCGAAGAGATAGGAAAAACAGAAACAGGGAACAAGAATGAAGTAAATGCCAAATTTTCCATTGGCGACCTACAAGAGGAAGAAAAGCACGAAGATTGTGATTTAGGAGATGTGAAAAAGACACAGATCCATTTTGATCCAGAAGTAGTTCAAATAAAGGCTGGAAAAGCAGAAGTAAGAAGTTTTTTTAGAGGGTGGGGAATATTATTTTAAAAATAATATGTTTAAATTGTTTAAACATGCATACTTATTGTTTATAGATTGACAGACGAATATCTGCATTTATTGAAAGAAAGCAAGCCGAAATCAATGAAAACAACGTCAGAGAATTTTGCAATGTTATTGATTGTAATCAAGGTAACTACCTAGAAGTTAATTTTTATAGGATTTTAAGAACAGTTTTTACAGTTGCTCAGGTCTTTCATTTGTTTTTAAAAATTAATAACATTAAGAACACAGTTTAATTTATTTCATAGGTTTATTTAGAAACTAAGGTAGCAGAATGTCCCCCTGTTTAATAATAGACTATATTGCAAAAATGATTTTCATTTTGATTACACAAAAATCAGATAAATGCTAACAAAAAAGGCTAATGTTTACGACAAGTGAAAAGATTGTTTTAAAGTTCCTTTAGGAAATGAAGTGTGGGTGGCAGGGTTGCTCAGTCTCACTAGTGAGAAAGAACTAAGCTATATAAATTTTATGCCTGTAAATATGCTTATGAAATTATGGTGTTAATGCATAAAGCAAACTTAGTAAAGTTAACACTCCTCAAGAGGGAGCAGTTTTCTCACTACTCGTGAGTTGTTTGAAATATTTTGTCACGATAAAACCAATTTGTAATGAAGACTGTGGTCATTATGCTTTTTTATCTCTCATAGTGCATACATTTGCTGTTTTCCCTCAGATTCTTCTTTTCCTCCTCATATGATGCTATAGTATATTTACAGATCTGCAGGTATGCTGCGGAATACAAAATATTGCAAAGCACTGGCATAGCTCACTCAGGCATCATAGTAATAATCAGAACAAGTAGTCTTATAAAAATTATGGAGAAGAGTTCCTAATTAGAATGAACATTTTTCTTGTTTCCTCCAATATCATGGCTAATTATTATGAATATAGAATTGTCAGATGAACCTATAATTGACTCTAATCTCATTGGTACACTGAAATAATACAGGCTCAAGTTGGGTCCTAAATTCATCCTTTTTTACTAGTAACTTTACATATGCATATCTCTAGATTTGGTATATTTTCCTTTTAGCTCCTCAAAACAGGTGCAAAAGTGGCAAAATCTCAGGTACTACAATCCAACTGCAAGCAACCCATGAGAAAGGGTTTGTTGAGGGAGCAAGCACATGTGTCACTAATGTTATTCCTCTGTTCTCCCTGCTAACTCTATTATTATAAACCAACAGGGGATAGAAATTGACAAGAATTGAAATGCTCAGCAGGATTCCTTGGCCCATTCAATTCCTTGGCGACACAAAACAGTGCTAGCAAGAATTGCTATGGAGAGTGACTAGCACTCATACATTCACTATCTCCACACCATACTGAATTTCTCACTGATGGGTCAGTTAATCTATGTATTTGAAATATAGCTCCAATATGGATGATAGCTTCCTTTTTCTAACCCTTAACCCCATGAAATGATAGAAGGAGAATGGAGAGTGATGGCCCTTTAAACATATTTTGAGGTGTCTCAAAACAAGAAATAAAAATGACTGTTTAATGTCTATATGTAAAAGATAGGTGAATTTGGCATTTTATTCACACAGTTTGATTTATCAGCAGAACTATTAAGAAAACAGACTGAAAAAATATAAATATATTATTGTAATGTGTTAATGTTTCTTTTAATATTTCTCAATTTGATTTAAACATAGTTAAAATCAAATTGAGAAATATTAAAAAATCAAATTCCATAGAGAAAAAGAGAATTTCCTTTCAGTATCTCTTTACCATCCATTTTTTATTATAAAATAAGAGGAATTTTTCAGCAAATTTACTGCAATGCATGGTTATACTTAATGTCATTTAAAATATTAATTTATAATATTCAAAATGTTTATTATGTTAACATCTTTGCAATATTTCCCCTTGGTTTTTAATTTGTTGGTATCTAATTTAAAAGAAACTATACTTTTTAGCTTAGAAAAAAGTGAGAACAAATTTTCACAAGGGTATCTTTTCTAAAACTGCATTTTTTGAAAGGGGCAGTCTGGAAAGGTATAGATGGCTTTCGTGATTAGGGATATTTTTAAATGAGCGTTGAAAATCTAGGTAAAGTGGAAAAGTATGTGTTATACCTGAGGTTTCAAGGTCTTTTTTATGTAGACTTCTGAAATAAAATATGTTAAATGTGTAATTAATCCTTTTATTAGATGTTCACTAATTTGGTCAGTAAGTAAATGCTGTATTTTTAAAAAAGGTATGTCAGTAAAAATAAAGAGTTCTATTTATTTCTATGATGAAATAAAGTGAATATGTCTCTTTGGCTTAGAATTAAAATATTCTCTATACTGTATAAGTTTTTTTTCTCCAAAGGCTCAGGTTTTTAGGGATATTGGTATTTATTAAAAATTATATTAAATTATGCTACTGAATGTAAAGGACTTTTCTACATATAAACCTGAAAATCAGTTAAGATTAGTTAGATATTATACATTTTAGAGGGTAAAGGTCACTAAATTTTATCCTGTAAGTGATGGTAATTTACTGTTACTTAAAATTATATTCTCTTATGAGTAATACGTTAATGAATATGAATTATTGGAAGTTTATCAAAATCTCATACATTTGAAGTTAAGAATATACTTAAACTCATCTAAATTCTCCTTAGAAAATAGTTGTGCAAGAACTGATGCCGTTTTCACCCCTTACCCCGGATTTAAAAGTCATGTAAAAGGTAAGTATCCACTGCATAATATCTTTATTAGAGACAAAAGTTTATTCTAGATTATAAGCAAAATGGAATAGAAACCACTTTTCTATCTAAATTTTGTTTATTTTAAAACAAAACAAAATATCTTGCCTTTCTTTATACTTGGGTTTGTGGCTAGATGGTCTTTATAAAAACTACATAAAGTACTGTTAAGAAGAAAGAATTTCTGGTTTTTGAAGTGTAAGTTTAATAGTCTCAAAAGTTTCTTAACTTAGTTTCTAGAGTTGTGAATACATATGGACCACAGACTAGAGCTGAAGGAATTCAAGGTTCAGGTCACAAACCTAATAGCATGCTCCGAGATTGTGGTAATCAGGCTGTAGAAGAACGACTACAAAATATTGAAGCTCACTTGCGATTGCAGACAGGTAAGGAAAGTACTGAGCAGTGCCCCATAATGTACCTTTGCAAGTGGTTAAAGAAATTCCAATTCATTTAGTCACCAGCCTTTCATTGAGCACCTGTCCTCAATGAAAGGACAAAACATTGTTCTGGTTGGTACAAAAATGAAAAAACATAGCCTCTGCTCTCAAGTAATTTACAATCATATGTTTATGCTCTTCTTCCTCTTACACTTCTCACCAATTTGATGAGAGTTAGGAGACTGGGAACAGGTTCCAAATAGATCATGACACTCAGTTTATTAGTCATTGCTGAAAACGAATGTAGACTTTTTCCTGCCATCAGTTTCATAACTTAACTATGACCATCTCTCATTCTTATCACCCACTGTGCTAGGTACAAAGTATTGATAATTGTGATCCTAGTTCTCAGAGTAAGCATATATATAAATAAATGCTATAGGGGACCATTTATTAAATAATACTAAGTGTCAGTCACTGAGAGTATTATGCATATGTCAACTCAGTATTTAACAGTGCCCTTATGAGGTATTGGTGCTATTATCATTGTCAGATAAAGAAACAAGTTCAGAGAGCTCTAGCAACATGCCCTAGGTAGTAAGCAACAACCAGAAATCAAACCTAGATCTTAACTGGCTGCAAAGCCTGAGTCACCCTCCCTGTTTAGTCACCAGATCCTATTGATTCTGTCTTCAAAATATATCTCAAATCTACCCACTTCTGTTTACCTCCACAGCTTTACTCCTGTTGAAGTCACTATGTTCTCTGCCTTAGACGGCTGGAAGGATGTTAACTGGTTGCTTTGCCATTAGACTTCCTCCTTGAGAACAGTTCTCTACCCTGCGGCCAAATTGCTTTTTCTAAAGCTCAGATCTGATCTTGCTACTCTCCAGCTAAAAATTCTTTAATGATTTTCTGTTGCCCTTATATGCATATGAAATTTAGTACTTATTCATTCCGCAAATAGGTATTAAGTTTCCGTTATAAGCCAGGTACTGTTCTAGACATTGAGAATACGTGTGAACAAAAATTCTACTACATAAATCGTGCGACACTAGGAGACAAGGGCTATGGATAAAAGCAGCTTGACCAAGAGAAAGGAAAGGAGGTTGGAATGGGAGGGGATTGTAATTTTAAATAGTATGATCTACAGCTATAGTTTCAGCCACATCTCAAGTTTCCCCCTGATTTTACTGTCTTAGGGCCTTTACCCAGGCTTTTTCTTCTGCCTATGCTTTTCCCTCCTGATCTCATACTGGTGTGGGTTCCCTTTTATTATGTACTCATACACTCGGTACTCCCTGCCCTCCTTTATATTTGTTTAATATTTGTCTCCCCTGCTAGATAGTAAGGTCTATGAAAGCAAACTCATGTTCATTACTATGTACCTCGTGCAGTACCTGGCACAACATAGGCATTTAAGTGTTTATTGAAGGAATGATTGCTCATTTTACCTTTTCAGATATGTGCAAAGTACAGTGGGGACACAAAGTTCGTGTTCAGCTCTCAGGAGAGGTCGAGAGATGGTATCCCTAGTAAAGGTCCATTTGAGCCTTCTAAGGGTTACTAATTATTAAGCAAGTAGGAGCAAAGCATTCCAAAAAGGAAGAGCATCTGCAAAAAGCGTAAATATGGTTCAGGGAATTTCTGAGTCCAGTCTGGCTGGAGTATTTGCTAGATGGAGATGGAAGATAAGAGAATGAGTAAATCTTCCAGGGTAATAAGAGATTAGCATTTAAAATTAATACCCTCCCCCCAAATTAGGTGAATTTAAAATACAACTGTATAGAAGGATTGACTAGTTTATTAAGTCCGATAGTATCAAGTAGTTAATTTTGAAAAATATCTGTTGAATGCCTACAGTATGCCAACATTATTTTAGACATGAGGGATACTAAGACGTAGCCATAGTCCCTGGCTTCAAGTACTTTATAATCTGTTTGGGAGAAAGACGGATTAATAGTCAAGTGGAATGTTAAAGGGATTGTAAAGGAAGGGTATGGTGGGGGCACAAGGAGCCTCCACATTCAGAAGTTCAGGCACTGCTTTGTTGACCCAGTGAAATTTGAAATGCTCTTGAAAGATACATGGATAAGGCAGAGGACATTCTAAGTAAAGGGAGCAGCAAGAGCACAGTCAGATGAATGTTATTCATTTTACCTTATTCAAGAGCAAGAACAACCAAGATCCTAAAATAAAAAACATTCTTAAATATTTCTAGAATTTTTATATTTAAAAAGTTAATATTTTTGATATGAAAATTTGCCTATATTCTTTAACTGTATAAATGATTGTCTAATCCTGTATTCATTAAGACAGTAAATATAGAGTATTGTGTAGTATCTGAATTGATGCTTCCTAGGTTTGTGCAGTACACAAGCCACACAGCCATATCCTATGAACAAAACATAAAGTTATGCCCTCTTTGGAGCTTACAGTAGAGAAATGGGCAATAAATATACAGACTGTTGGGTGGTAGTAATGGTTTGGAGAAAAATAAGGGAAAGGATAGGGGGTACCAGGGAGGAGGAGGGGGTGGCTCTGGTATTTTTTAAAGGGTGGTCAGAGAATGTCTTACAGGTAAGGTAACTTGAGCCAAGACCTGAAGTTGGTGAGAGCAAGCCTTGTGAATAAGGAGGTAAAGGGAATCGCAAGTGCTAAAATTGTGAGAGTACTTGGCCTAGTTGAGTAACAGAAAAAAGGAATCAAGTGGCTGGAATGATACGAGTATGGGAAGAATGTGCAAATTATGTACGACCTCGTAGTCTATGGTAAAGGCTTTGGGTTTGAATCTGAGTGAGATGCGAAGGTATTGGAAAGTTTTGAGCAGAGAAGTGATGCTATATGATGTACATTTTTAAAGGATCACTGGCTGCTCTGTTGAGAAATAGACTCCATGGGAGCGAGGCAGAAACAAGGTTTGGTAGTTGTGATAATCCAGGGAGAGATGGTGGTGGTCTGGACCAGAATGAGTTGCACTGGAAATGCTGAGAAATGAAAGGATTTGGAATATAATCATAACCTTGAAATTTGAGTAACCTTAATTTGCCATCCCCTAACCCTAGAAAGTTGAGTTAAGAAATATGGTAAAGCTCCTCTTTAATATTCTTCTAGGTTAAAGGAGAAAATATAGATTGAAGAAAATGATATGACATATTGCGACCACTGAATCAAATTGTCAGTTGTAACTGCATTTTTCTCTTCCCACGTAACTATCAAAGTCTATCAGAAATACAAATTGTTCTATACAGGAGCTATTCAGTATCTTATAAAATGAATTTAACTTAAAACTCCTATAAGAAGCATAAATGGGTCTCGGAGAGAGATGTAGAATAAAGATCCCATAGCGTACAATATGAAAATATGAGCTAAGGATTATCATTCTAATGTACTCATGTTCATTTATTTTCTTAAGTTTAAATATTTCCCATTCCTTTGCATTGTATTTTAAGAATAAGAATTGTAAGAATTATGCAATAGTAGCTCAGAATATTTTTTAATGTATTTAGGTGGTCCAGTGCCAAGAGACATTTATCAGAGAATTAAAAAACTTGAGGATAAAATCCTTGAATTGGAAGGCATCTCTCCTGAGTATTTTCAATCTATAGTAAGTATAAATATCTTTTAAAAATAAATAAATGTTATTTTATTTTAGGATTCTTTGTATAACAGTTTACTCATCAATCTACTATATGTGAAACACTTATTTCAAAGATAAATGAACATATGTAGGGAGTTACTTCTTTAAAATTGTGATTCTGAATATTGTATTATAGACTCATAACTTTTTTGAAGGAGATACCTTGTATATTTCCCAGATACTCAATCTTAAGCCATGGCTTAGTAAATCAGCCTGGATACTCTGAACTTGCTGTCTTATAAAATAAAGGCTTCTTTTGGGACCTTGCTCTGTCAGTTATCCCTCTGTCTCTTTAATCTCTCCCTCCTCACAGACTCCTTCCCTCGGCTTGTGCACATTTACATTTCTCCCCTA